TAAGTCGTATACATTTCTTACCATTACCACAGTTGGACCTCGTCAGTACGACGACTGTAGTAACAATACAATTTAGTTAAGTATAAGAATTAATTGAGATGGAAAAGATGGAAATACTGGTAATGATCTTAAATGAGGAAATTGAAAGAAATGAAACTAGTGTAGGAATTGAAAATTATTTAGGAGATATGAGGAAAGTAAAATTAAAAGGTAAAATATTATAAAGTAGAAAAATCTAAATCCGTATGTTATGCCTTCAGCAAAGTGCCATTGAAAAAAAGGGTACGACCCTTTTAGCCTGCATTTCGACAACACTGACAATGCTGCGAAATTCTTGCAATTCTCTAGTTACTACAGCAGCAACAGTACTGTCATTCAGGCAATGCAACAAAGGTAATAAAGAAGTTCTACTGCTGCTATGTATCACGCAGTGTAGGTTTACAAATGACTACAACTGACTTGAAGAAAAATTTAACCATCGTTACCTTTATAGTAAAACTACTATCGCGACCCTAAAAGTTAATATTCTAGATTAATGGCGTGCCTCGTGTGTAAATGTATGTATGTGTGTGTATGTTTGTGCGTGTGTGGAAGACACCTAATCATACATACACATATTTATAAGTACGTAAAATAATAAAAGGCTAATTAGAAAAATACACTGTAGTAACTATTCTCCTTTTAAACTAGTGATTGAATTTGGTGTTTACCAATTTAAAAACAGAAAATAACTAATTAATACCAGAAGAAAAAAATAGTGACAGTGTTTTCCCCAATAATGATTCATTGCTAACCTATTAGTTCCTGACGCATATCCTTTGCTTGAGCCCGTAATTCGTTCGGAATTTCATCTCTTACTACAGAACTTCCATCAGAATTCCCACTATACACTGCTTGCTCGTCAATCAAATCCACAACACCCTGAAAAAAAAAATTTACAAAAAAAATTCAGTATTTTAAATACGCTGGTAAAAATTACACAAAACAGCAACCACGTCCGAAGCAGCATATACTATTAAAGGTTAAAAAAGGAAATATCAGGCGACAAAGGAAACAAGGAAGAAAAGGAAAAGGATATTATAATAAGTAAAGGGTATATCATAATATTAGTCTGTATTTTGCATCAAATTCTGATACTTATATCAGAAGAGGAAAAGGATATTATAATATTAGTCTGCATATTGCATCAAATGCTGATGCTTATATCACACATTTTTTTAAATGTCAAATCCAAAACAGTTTGGTGTACTGCCAACAATTTTTGCTAACCCGGGTAAGTTGCTAGCTCGGGAATCTGAGAAGCTAGAAGACTGGAATTTTAAGGGTTGTTCCCCACCCACATGGGTGTTAATGAGCTCAAAACCAGCCCCCTGGATATGCGTAATACCCACGCACAGGCCGCCAAAGTTTTTTACGGGCAACCTACTAACTCGGGAACCAGAAAAGCTGGGAAGCTGAAACTTTAAGGGGACGTTCCCCATCCACGTAGGTATTAATATGCTCAAATCCAGCCCCCGGGTATGCGTGGATACCCACGTACGGATCTGCCAAGATTTCCTTTTCGGGCAAGTTGCTAGCTCGGGAATCTGTGAAGCTAGAGGATTGAGATTTTAAGGGGACGTTTCCCGCCCGCGTAAGTGCTAATGGTCTCAAGCCCAGACACCGGGTATGCGTAGTACCCACGTACGGGCCCGTGGAATTTTTTTTCGGGTAAGTTGCTAACTCGGGGGCCAGGAAAGCTAGAAAGCTGAAATTTTGAGGGGGTGTTTCCTGACAATTCTGGCAGCCAGTCATAATTTGTTTAGCTAGAAGCATTTGCCGGAAAAACCGGTGCCAATAGCGACAAAAACTGCGGGAAACTATGCAAAAAACGCATCTTCGCACGGGCAGCCCGTGCGCTGGCCAATTATTT